ACAGATGAACAGATGAACAGACAGACAGATGAACAGATGAACAGACAGACAGATGAACAGATGAACAGACAGACAGACGAACAGACAGACAGATGAACAGACAGACAGACGGACAGCTGAACAGACAGACAGACAGATGTACAGATGAACAGACAAGAAAGATGTACAGATGAACAGACAAGACAGATGTACAGCTGAACAGACAAGACAGATGTACAGATGAACAGACAAGACAGATGTACAGATGAACAGACAAGACAGATGTACAGATGAACAGACAAGACAGATGTACAGATGAACAGACAAGACAGATGTACAGAAGACGACAGACGACAGATGTACAGATGAACAGACAAGACAGATGTACAGATGAACAGACAAGACAGATTGAACAGACAACAGACAAGACAGATGTACAGATGAACAGACAAGACAGATGTACAGATGAACAGACAAGACAGATGTACAGATGAACAGACAAGACAGATGTACAGATGAACCAGACAGACAGATGTACAGATGAACAGACAGACAGATGAACAGACAGACAGACGGACAGACAGACGGACAGATGGACAGACAGTTGTACCTGAGGAACTCTTCGGCAGTCTCCCAGGTTTGAGGTTTCTGTTGATGGCGGGTCCTTTACATCCTGTGAGGTTGTTACAAATTTCAAACAGCTTACTTGCTCATCAAATGTACAAATTGTAATTTTTGATGTAATTTGTATTATGAATACAAACAAATGCAACTCCTGCACATGTGCCTGTGTGCGCGCTCCATAGTACACTGATTATACTGATAAAGGCTGTTCATTAGTTTATGTCAAAAACGAAAACTTTGGGCTCAACAAATATGTATTGTGTTCAATAGTGTTTGCAACAGGGATAGCGCCATATTTTATTTAATTTAAACTCCATAAAACAATTTTAAAAGTTGTTAAAAAGAAAATACCTATTTTTAATACATTTCATTGCAATCCTGCCCGTCTCTGACAGCAGGTGTGTGTTGTCTTTGTGTGTGAATGTGAACTGCTGAAATATAAAGAAATGCTATCGTGTGTGTGTGTTTGTGTGTGAGTGAGTGAGTGAGTGAGTGAGTGAGTGAGTGTGTATGTGAGTGAGAGAGTGTGTGTGTGTCTGTGTGAGTGAGTGAGTGAGTGAGTGAGTGAGTGAGTGA